ATTACTATCAATAATTGCAGCGCAAACAAATAACTGAAAAACATTAGCAAATAAAAAAAAATGCGTTTTCTCATTTGCTCCTTCCAATTATTCTAGATCGCTATTGCTCACCTCTTCTGGCTGCAGAATGCTGCTGTTCAGCCCCATATCGGATTCCGTCTTATTTGGAACTATAACAATTAAACCCGGTGAGAATTTTGCGTTAAATTAGGCTTAAAAATTTACATTGCAAGAAACAGAAAAACACTCACTTCGCTCCATGATGAGCCAGGTGAATGAGACTCATTCGAGAGGAAAAGTCCACCGTACATTAAGTCATTACAGTGCAATTAACATCCAAATAAATAAATGAGTCAGTAGGCCAGAGGTTAGTGGATAAGCTCGTCTTACCAAGCCTGTCTTACCAGGCAATTGAAATAGGCAGAATAGCAGGCAAATGTAATTACAATTTTTCAGCTTTGTGGGCGTTTGTACCGGTTTTTAGACGGGAAATATTGATTTATAACAAATGCAAAAAATCTCCTAACATTTACAGGGTTAATTCGAACCATAAATTCGAGAGATCTCAAATCTCAGAGATTGTTGGGTTGAGTAATAGATAGAAGTTGAGCCTAAGATTCAATTTCCAAAAAATTCTGCATCGATTCATGAAAAGAGTTTGGTTTTGTCTTTTGCAACAATTGCTTGAAATTGCTATTTTTGAAGATGGAAGTTACTTTGTGATTGCGAAACGCCAGAAATAAATTATTTTCTACAACGGCTTGAAGCCCGAAATATCGCCAGTAAAATGCATTAAAACGCAAGGAAACGCATCTTTTACCATCATGTTTGATCCCATATGTATTCTTCTCTAATCTAATCTTATCGACGTTTCGATTTACTTACATGCATTGATACATCGATGCAAAAACCTTCAATTGATTGGCGCTTCAGTAATTTATCGCGCGTACTTTAGCCTTTATAAATGTTTTTTTATTGTCGGTTTGCTTCTTTTTCCCTCTGCCTTTTCTTGAAATGTCTATTTACGCAATCTGCTGCTAAATCGGGCATTGTTGACACTGCAGAGCAGGAAAGTTTCAAATTTGCACCGTCCTTTTGACTAAATTGCAAGGGTTTCTAAACAAAATTGCCCCTTCTAAACTGAAAGACATTTTGACCTGCCGAGAGTGGCGTTGAAAAGAAAAAAGTCGGTTTTATCAACTGGGAAAGTGCCGATTTTCTGTCACCCGCAGGAAAAGTTGCAGACATTTTCAAATGCGGGCATTTTTGCTCAATTTTCCGAAACCTCGCACAGATTCGCGAAAAAATCGCTTCTTTCAATCTGGAACAGACAACAATTTGCCAAGTTTACTTTATAGATCGGGCACTATCGGTGCGGCAGACATGGAAAGTTTCGAATTTGCATCATCCTCAGGGCCTTTTAAAGGAATTTTTCAAAATTTGTGCGCAAAGTTTCTTAAAAAATGCCTCGTCCCATGAAAAAAAAACACATTAACTTGCTGTGCCCGTAATTGGAAAGCTAAAAGTTCGTTTTGCAAACTGCAAAAGTGTGGATTTGCTTGTGTGATTGTTAATACTGCGAATTTTAGGTCAGTTTTGTGTGCATATTTGACGATTTTAATAATTTCAAGAATTCTGCTCGATTAAACGATAAGCGAATGGAACACGATAGATTTTATGTCAGGGGTAGATGGAACATTGAATTGATTTAGTCACAAACCTGCAGAAATAAATTATTAAAACTATCAAGATGGTCAGACAAGGAGATAAAGTTGTGAAATATATTAGATAAAAAAACAAACATTGAAGATTTAAAATATAAATTTAAAATAATTGTGGGATTTACCTGATAAATAGTTTCAAAACGAACCACGATCAATACAATGAGGTCAAGTACTAACTGAATGCTTTTCCACATTAGAATAACGCAAAACATTATTCCACATACTCATAAATCGTGAGGTAGAACAGCATCATGTCTCTCTCGAACTCAGCGCAAATCAGTACTATCAGCAACAGAGTGGGTGAGACGGAATGAACTCAGATAAATTGATTTCCTCAACTTCATGGCAATATGAATGAGATTACGATATGGTTCTAGGAACTGTTGATTACGTTTTCTCTTTTCCCGGACTCTTTAGTCAGAGACTAAACAAAGAAAATTTCGCAAAATGTCTTGATTTTTCCATCATTGCCACCGGAAAGAGGCGAGGAGTTCAGGATCCTCAAAAACACACCGGACTTCAGACCCCAAATAATCAACATTTTATGTCCATTCAGAGTCGATTTTGAGCGGTAGCGATTTTCAACCGACGATTTCGTCCCTATTCTGGACTCAAAAACTTGAAATTTGCACATTAAGGAGCTTTTGAGGTCGCAAAGAATCCAATGAGCTCAAAAAACACGGTAGAGAAATTTTGATTTTTGACCGAAAATTTCGTAAGGGGGGAGGGTTGATTTTTTCGAAAAATATGAAATCTCTCAAAATTTTTCGATTTTTCCATCATTGTCACCGGAAAGAGTCGAGGAATGTAAGGAGATCCTTAAAAACACACTGAACTCTTCAGATCCGAAATAATCAACATTTTCTGTCCATTCTGAGTCGTTTTTGAGCGGTACCGATTTTCAACCGACGATTTCTTCCTTATTCTGGACTCAAAAACTTGAAATTTGCACATTAAGAAGCGTCTGAGGGCGCAAAGAATCCAATGAGCTCAAAAAACACGGTTGAGAAATTTTGATTTTTGACCGAAAATTTCGTAAGGGGGGAGGGTTGATTTTTCCGAAAAAAATAAAATCTTTCTAAATGTCGCGATTTTTCCATCATTGTCACCGGAAAGAGTCAAGGAATGCAGGGAGATCCTTAAAAACACACTGGACTCTTCAGATCCGAAATAATCAACATTTTATGTCCATTTTGAGTCGTTTTCGAGGGGTACCGATTTTCAGTCGACGATTTCTTCTCTATTCTGGACTCAAAAACTTGAAATTTGCACATTAAGGAGCTTCTGAGGTCGCAAAGGATCCAATGAGCGCAAAAAACACGGTTGTAAAATTTTGATTTTTGATCGAAAATTTCGTAAGGGGGGAGGGTTGATTTTTTCTAAAAATATGAAATGTCTCAAAATTTCTCGATTTTTCCATCATTGTCACCGGAAAGAGTCGAGGAATGCAGGGAGATCCTTAAAAACACACTGAACTCTTCAGATCCGAAATAATCAACATTTTCTGTCCATTTTGACTCGTTTTTGAGCGGTACCGGTTTTCAACCGACGATTTCTTCCCTATTATGGACTCAAGAACTTGAAATTTGCACACTAAGGAGCTTCTGAGATCGCAAAGAATCCAATGAGCGCAAAAAACACAGTTGTGAAATTTTGATTTTTAACCGAAAATTTCGTAAGGGGGGAGGGTTGATTTTTTCGAAAAATATAAAATCTCTCAAAATGTCTCGATTTTTCCATCAATGTCACCGGAAAGAGTCGAGGAATGCTAGGAGATCCTCAAAAACACACCGGACTCTTCAGACCCCAAATAATCAACATTTTATGTCCATTCAGAGTCGATTTTGAGCGGTACCGATTTTCAAAGGACGATTTCTTCCCTATTCTGGACTCAAAAACTTGAAATTTGCACATTAAGGAGCTTCTGAGGTCGCAAAGAATCCAATGAGGGCAAAAAACACGGTTGTGAAATTTTGATTTTTGATCGAAAATTTCGTAATGGGGGAGGGTTGATTTTTTCGAAAAATATAAACCTCTCAAATCGTCTCGATTTTTGCATCATTGTCACCGGAAAGAGTCGAGGAATGCAAGGAGATCCTTAAAAACACACTGCGCTCTTCAGATCCGAAATAATCAACATTTTATGTCCATTCTGACTCGTTTTTGAGCGGTACCGGTTTTCAACCGACGATTTCTTCCCTATTCTGGACTCAAAAACTTGAAATTTGCACATTAAGGAGCTTCTGAGGTCGCAAAGAATCCAATAAGCCCAAAAAACACGGTTGTGAATTTTTGATTTTTGATCGAAAATTTCGTAAGGGGGGAGGGTTGATTTTTTCGAAAAATATAAAATATCTCAAAATGTCTCGATTTTTCCATCATTGTCACCGGAAAGAGTCGAGGAATGCAAGGAGATCCTTAAAAACACACTGGACTCTTCAGATCCGAAATAATCAACATTTTCTGTCCATTTTGACTCGTTTTTGAGCGGTAGCGATTTTCAACCGACGATTTCGTCCCTATTCTGGACTCAAAAACTTGAAATTTGCACATTAAGGAGCTTCTGAGGGCGCAAAGAATCTAATGAGCGCAAAAAACACGGTTGTGAAATTTTGATTTTTGACAGAAAATTTCGTAATGGGGGAGGGTTGATTTTTTTCGAAAAATATAAAATCTCTCAAAATGTCTCGATTGTTCCATCAATGTCACCGGAAAGAGTCGAGGAATGCAGGGAGATCCTTAAAAACACACTGTACTCTTCGGATCCGAAATGGTCAACATTTTCTGTCCATTCTGAGTCGTTTTTGAGCGGTACCGGTTTTCAACCGACGATTTCTTCCCAATTATGGACTCAAAAACTTGAAATTTGCACATTAAGGAGCTTCTGAGGTCGCAAAGAATGGAATGAGCGCAAAAAACACGGTTGTGAAATTTTAATTTTTGATCGAAAATTTTGAAATGGGGGAGGGTTAATTTTTTCGAAAAATATAAAAAATCTCAAAATGTCTCGATTTGTCCATCAATGTCACCGGAAAGAGTCGAGGAATGCAGGGAGATCTTTAAAAACGCACTGGACTCTTCAGATTCGAAATAATCAACATTTTCTGTCCATTTTGAGTCGTTTTTGAGCGGTACCGATTTTCAACCGACGATTTCTTCCCAATTATGGACTCAAAAACTTGAAATTTGCACATTAAGGAGCTTCTGAGGTCGCAAAGAATCCAATGAGCGCAAAAAACACGGTTGTGAAATTTTGATTTTTGACCGAAAATTTCGTAAGGGGGGAGGGTTGACTTTTTCGAAAAATATAAAATCTCTCAAAATGTCTCGATTTTTCCATCATTGTCACCGGAAAGAGTCGAGGAATGCAAGGAGATCCTTAAAAACACACTGGACTCTTCAGATTCGAAATAATCAACATTTTATGTCCATTCTGAGTCGTTTTTGAGCGGTACCGGTTTTCACCGACGATTTTTTCCCTATTATGGACTCAAAAACTTGAAATTTGCACACTAAGGAGCTTCTGAGATCGCAAAGAATCCAATGAGCGCAAAAAACACGGTTGTGAAATTTTGATTTTTGACCGAAAATTTCGTAGGGGGGGAGGGTTGATTTTTCCGAAACAAATAAAATCTTTCGAAATGTCGCGATTTTTCCATCATTGTCACCGGAAAGAGTCAAGGAATGCAGGGAGATCCTTAAAAACACACTGAACTCTTCAGATCCGAAATAATCAACATTTTCTGTCCATTTTGACTCGTTTTTGAGCGGTAGCGATTTTCAACCGACGATTTCTTCCCAATTGTGGACCCAAAAACTTGAAATTTGCACACTAAGGAGCTTCTGAGGTCGCAAAGAATCCATTGAGTGCAAAAAACACGGTTGTAAAATTTTGATTTTTGATCGAAAATTTCGTAAGGGTGGAGTTAGGGTTTTTTTCCGCGCCTCCCTTACTTCCAAACTTAACTCCCATTGACTCCCATTGAATCCATCAGACGTTCGGCCTGCAGGCCCGATACACGGCCGGCATATTTGAACCCCCGCAGGCCCGTGGAAGTGAATTTGGCCCCCGGCTGAGCCTCTTTTAGTGCAAGGGGGCGGCACTAGGGCTGCACTGATGCCCCATATTTATATTTTACGAGCCGGCCTGTTCTCGATATTTATTGTTTTTGTTGCGCGGCATCAAAGAACCATCCCCTGTTCGGCCAAATCGATTTTCCTGCATAGGAAATTGGGGTGGTAAATGGTTTTTTGCATTTAGAGCACGAACAAGCCGTGAATTTCGCATTTTCCTTCCAACGTCTTGTTCAGAATCCATGTGTTTGGGTGGGTTGCTGGCGATGATTAAGTTTTTCGTCAAAAATAGTTACAGGATTCCTGTATTATGCTGAACTAGGAGGATTTCGAATTTCAATAAAACCAGTCGCCATAGGGGTTTTCTTTCGTTTCTGTTTGCCCGGAACGAGCCAAAATTCTGTTTTGTTTAAACTAAGCGAGCCCATTTTCGAGCTAAATTGTTCATTGTAATTTTGAAGCCTGCGGGGCCAAATTCTGTGGGCGCGCAGCGCGTTCCTCGGGCGCTCCAATGGCGTGCCGCAAAAAACCTCGTTTTTTGCTTAGTTTCGTTTTAGTTTCACCCAGCTCGATGGGGATAAAGTTGGCCAAAGTTGTCCGACGATGCGTCAGGATGGAACTCGCCCGTTTTTTGCTCGTTGCCCAAATCGACTCGTTGGGTAAATATTTGATTTTTTCCCGAAAAACGTCGTTATCGTAGTAGAAAAACCCGCTTTCTCAATTCCAAGTAAACAACCTTTAAATGTACAAAGTTTCCGGAAGAAATGGTGCAAAGGGTGTACGAGTATTCATTTCTATCGCGTTTTACAGGGGATTCTTTAAAAATTCCGCATTCAAATCGAGCAAAAGCTACGAGGGTGCGTGGTTTGTCATTAGCTAGAGAATGGTTGGCTTTCCCACTCCTGCTGGCGTCAGTTTGGTAACATTTTTCCTCAACTCTGGGCGATTTTTTACATGTCTACTTTTCCAAAAGTGTTTGAAACTTTTTCGATTTTGAGTGTTCAGTGCGAATTTTCCCCAGTCGCATTTTTTCACTTATTCAAAGAAAATTCCCGCTTCAAAATTCTGGACTTTTCCCAAAGCGAATTTTTACTGGAAAAATTTTTTGCTCAAAATGAGGCCAGCTAGAAAGTTGCTTT